TCTGAAGCTTTCTTCCTGTTTCCTGTGGAGTATCTGAAGCTTTCTTCCTGTTTCCTGTGGAGTATCTGAAGCTTTCTTCCTGTTTCCTGTGGAGTATCTGAAGCTTTCTTCCTGTTTCCTGTAGAGTGCCCCCAGAAGGTCATACTCTGCCATTTTGTCTCCTGATGTATATGTCCAGGAAGTTGTCTCTCCCTGGCATCTGCATTTAATTTACACTTTAATGTGGCAGCTGTGGACCCTCAGGAGATTGTCTCTCCCTGGCGCTGGCTGCTAAATGATCTTTTTTAGGGAGGCAATGTGATGACTGTTGAATGGTCACCTGGTGATCACCTGACATTCCTGGTGGATAGGAAGAGCCCTCACCCGCCCTGCTCATGCCTCTCTAGAACCTGTAACAAGAACATAGAAGTTTGAGGGAAGCGCCAGAACTCCACTGGCCTGGTTTGTTTGCAGTAAGGTCGAGGTCGCTTATCCACGAGGAGTAAGAGGCCATGCTGAGTGAGCTCAGTGGGGAGTTGAGGCGGGGAGAGCCCAGGTTGCCTGGAAGTGCAAACCCACAGGCTGTCTCTGTGTCCTCTGTACTTCATCCTCTCTTCATCCAGGGAAGCTGGAGGACTGCAGTTCTACATACTATCCTGCCCTGAGCCCCACTTCAGGCTGTCAGCCAGCCTTGTCTCCAGCCTGCTCACCACTCACTGATGCTTTTTGCACCTCTTAGTCATTACTGCTCAAACAAGGCTCACTCTGATGAAAAGAAGGGGGTGTAGAAGAGCAGTTTTCAAGTTGTCATTCTGGTATTTCATCTTGGGAAACCAGAAACCTGCGAAACAGCAAGGGTTTGCATACTGGAAGACTGCTCAGCCCGCCCCAGAAGGTCAGCATTCCTTCCCTCTCAACTAGTTCCGTCCAGCTGGAGGAAACATACGGTGTTAGAAAGTTTCAACTATGGTTTTCGGTCTAGCTTTTAGGATTTTAGGAGATTCTAGGCCTTTTGAAAAAAAATGAGATATTAAGATCGAATGGTTCCCTTTGACATACTTGATTTAATCAAAACAAAGGAAATTGCCTGGCATTAAGGAACCTGTTATTTATCCCTTAGAGGCACTCCAGCAGAGAACCCAGGCCCTTCACCATACTGCTGCATGGTTCCTGACACTTGTGCAGTCCGTTCCGAAGTTTCTTACAGATAAAGTGGGTGACTGCAAACAGGCACTGCTGCCTCTCCTCTGTCAGAGTAAGCACGGGCAGCGCAGGGTGGCTGCACGTCCTGAGTTGCCTGGGACAGTCCTGGTTTACACCATTGCTCTGTTTTAATTTTTATTAGTGACATTTTTCACTCAATGCTGTCCCCAGTTGGAAGATAAAGGTA